TCAGTATTATTTTTTGGGCGGGCACTGTTAGGCCTCGGCAATAACTAGACAAATGTCTAGTGACGTTTATTGTTCGGGTAAACAATGTGCTCTACCCAAAATTCTGGGCGGGCAGTAAGTTTGTCTGGTTGCTTGGCTATAAGCAGACCGGTAGTGCCTTTGGGTACGCACCGTTAGGCCTCTGTAGTAGCTAAACAATGTCTAGGCGTTTATTGCTCGGTTAAAAAATGTACTCTACCCAGAGTTTTGGGCGAACAATAAAATCGTGTATTTATTGTTATGCAGACCAGTATCGCCCTATTTTTTTTTTTTTTCGGGGGAAGTTGGTAGAATTTCTACCAACTTCCCCCTTTTTTTAGTTTTATCAATATAGCGGGTGTTTGTGTGCGTGGTATTAACATTGGCCTTATTCATGGCTGATTCTACGATTTAGGGTGTTTCTTGTGATTCGCCTTTTATCATATGTGGAATACATAACAATAACTTTATTTCACTTAGACCGTTAAGGAAATTTCGTAAACGATGCTCGAAAATCTAGAGTTTGTGACCATTCAATGCTCGAAACTCATCGATTCCAATCTCTAATTATAAGTAACAACATATAACAATTATTTCCTCAACAATTAAAGTTAGCTCCGAGATTTAGGGCTGGCTAAAATAGAACATAAACCACTTACCGTTGGCGTAATGCTTCGACTTTTTCTTCTAATTCGGCTCGTTGGGTTTTACTTAATTCTTGGAAGGTCTGCTCTTGTTGGCAGAGTTGGTTTTCCAATCTTGCCTTTTCTCGCTGTAATTCCTCAATAGTTTCCTGTTCGGTTCGGTCTCCTCAATCCTCTTCCAGTTTAGTTTCCTTGCCATCAGGGGAATAAACCCCATCTTCGCGGGGGTTAAAGTCGGGCCAGTCTTTTATTTGATTAGCGGGGTGTAGGACAATCTTATTCTTGCCTTTGGCAATTCAGTCATAATCGACTTTTTTAGTTAATATTAACTCTTCACCATTTAAATCATCATATCTTAAACGGCGAACTTTATTTGAACGCTCCACTTATTTCCTTTTCATCACTGTCTCAACATATGTATAGTACTTAAAGTCTTAACAACAAAATGTTAAAAAGAAAACAATAGCTAATTGCATTGAGATGCTTGAGAAAACTTTGATTACATCATAGTTTGCAAATTCGAAATCTAACAAAAAAAATTTTATATAAATAATAATTATAATTGTACACTATTATGAATCACATCGGGGTTGAGAACACTCTTGGTCAAGTTAGTAAAAATATATCTTGCAGCATCGTAAACAAGGAAAAATTTTAATAATTATACTTTGATCGTTAGCACAATTAAATAATGAGAATGTTTTTGTATATGTTACGGGTCAAATTGGTTTTTAGGTCAAGTTAAACTTTACCCGGGTCAAATTGATCCCTAGCAGAATTTTAGGGTTAAGGCGGGTCGGGATTATGTTGATGCCGGCCGGGGTTTTTTAATTGATCAATTTGACCCGGGTCAAGTTTAACTTGACCTAAATACCAATTTGACCCGTAACATATACATATGTACGCACATACGTACGTATATATGTTGTGCCTCAGATTAACGCTTGCCTCAGATTTCAGCTGACGCACCTCAGATGTTGATTGTTTGGCCAGCATTAACTGATCGACAATAATTAGCCTAAATTATACCTTCATCCTCACCCTAACTCTAACGCTAATTTAGGCCGGTTTTAATCTGAGGCAAGCGTTAATCTGAGGCACGACATATACATGTGTACAAATTATTTGCATCATACATGCATATATTGATATGTATGTATATACGTACAGTAGGCGGCAAAAGTAACGCCCGATGGTTTTTTTATAGTAAAACATATAAAAAATTGAAATTTATAGAATATATAAAAGTCAAAATTTTTTTTATTAAAAAAATTTTTTTTAATAAGGAAGAGGAGGGTATTCTGGCGCACCTAAGCTGCGTTGCCAATTAAATTTTTACAAATTAATATTTATTTTTAAAATTTATTTAAACCAACTAATTTTATGCTTGGCTATCCGCTAATGAAAAAAAAGTGTATTATTACTAAAAAAATTTGGTTATTGTGACTTTTTTGAAGGTGATTTTTAATCATTATTTTATTAGGTGGGGGATTGTAGTACACTTACAAATGTTAATATCTTCATACTGCATAATTACATAGTTGATAATTTTTATATGAATACATCAAAATGAAACTTATTAATATCCAATATTAAGAAAGGAAAATTCTAGGCATCTCTAGCTAGAGATGCCTAGCTTATGCATCTCCAATGTAAAACTACATTTGATCATATGATTTTTAACTAGAGTTAGGATTGCACAAGGTTAGAGCAAAGACAAGTTCTATATGTAAAATTGTCTTTCCGATATTTTTAATTAGTACACCAGAATAGGTTTAAATGGTTGTTTTTTGTATTTTTGACTTTTTTCACTTTTTTCGCTCTTTTGTTGTTGTTTTTGTTTTGTCGAACTGATCTGTGATGATCGTCCTTTGTGTTATATGAAAACGGCAACCATGTGGTTTATTTGTATTTTAATTGGCTATTAAGCCTGAAATATTATCGTTAGGCATCTCTAGCTAGAGATGCCTAGAAGAACCCTATTAAGAAATTGTATGATCTGTATTATTAACAATAATATTAATTTTTTTTTTATGTAAATATTTCTCTTTTTTTTGCTTTACCTTAATCCTTTTTTGTGCTTTTTTAGCTTTTTAATTAGCTTGTTTTTTGGCTGCTTCTTTCTTTTTTTTTTTGTATTTTTTCTTTCTGTTTAGCTAACTTATTTGTTTTTTTCAATTGTTATAAACTTTTTTCATTAGTGAAAAGTTAAGCAAATAGAATTTTTTTTTTTTTTTTTGCTGGCTAGACTTTGATACAACTTGTGTTAAAATTCTTAAAGTAGGATATTTAAGAGATAGCTTTAATAAG